ACGCACACACACAGCGCACACACACAGACACCATAAACAGACACACACACAGACAACACACAGACCAACCACACAGACACACACAGGACACACACAGAACACACACAGACACACACACAGACAAACACACAGGACCACACACACAGACACACACACAGACAACACAGACACACACAGACACACACAGACACACACACACAGACACACACACACAGACACACACAGACACACACAGACACACACAGACACACACAGACACACACACACACACACTCACACACACTCACACACACTCACACACACTCACACACACTCACACACACTCACACACTCACACACTCACACACTCACACACTCACACACTCACACTCACACTCACATACACACTCACACTCACACACTCACACACACACTCACACACATACTCACACACACAGACACACACACACACGCGCACACACACAAACACACACACACAAACACACACACACACACTCTCACACACAAATACATACACACAAATAACATGATTCCCTATATTTTTACATATTTTCTGGGTTTTGTGTCTTCCCCCCCACTTCCCATATTTTCCAATATTTTCCTGGGAATCCACGATTAATTGTGTCTGGGTGTTTTTTCCCCTCCGGACATTTGCCTGCTCCCTTAGGCCTCGGTCTGCAATCCCGAGGAGAATTTGATGGGTCCGGACCTCAAATTGCCTGCGTGTCTGGGGTGTCTTCCCGCACAACTTTGTCGGGCCCAAGATGGCCCCAAATCGGTCCAAGAGGCCTCAAGCGGCCCCGCGGACGGTCCAAGAGGGGCCCGAACCGCCGAACGATCGCTTCAAGAAGCCGTAGATGGCCCCAACACTGCCCCCGAGGCCCCCAAGGCGCCCCAAGAGTATTCCACGAGGCGTCACAAGAGCGCCCCACCAGGCACAAATCAGTGACGTCCCATCAATTTTTTAAATGGATTTGGGCGTTCTCGCCTTTTCGGTTTCCCGACTCTCCAGAACGGCCAAACAGGCCCCGAAGATCGCCCCAAAAGGTACTAAGAGGGTCCCAGGACGGCCCGTAAGACGGCGAAGAGGCGCCCAAGACGGCCCAAGAGGGCCCAAAGACGACTCCAAAAGAGGGGACCCAAACGGGGAGCCCGCACGGACATTTCGAACACTCGGCCCCGAGGGGCCCCCAGGAGGCCCCAGGAAGCCCCCAAGAGGCCCCACGAGGCGCCCAAGAGGCACCAAGAGGCCTCCGAAAGGCCCCCAAGAAGCACCCAAGAGGCCCCCAAACTGCCCCCAAGAGGCCCCGAAAGCGCTCCGAAAGACCCCAAGAAACATCCCTGATAACTCGGACCTACAACCCAAGCACGGTGGCGGAATGGGCCGAACACCATAATATGACAAAACAATGCCCAACTCGGTTTCAAATTGATTAGAAGCCACACGCGCTTTCTTCTAGCAAGCCGTTGACATAGCCCAAGCGAAGTTCGCAACATCGGAATGCGAATCGTGCGCAAAAGAGGCGCGCTGCTACAGATCCGCTGCGTTCGAACACATGTGCCACGAAAATCCGCCCTCCGCGTCACAACGCATGCCAAGCGAAGGGCCCCAGCCGCCCCGAGCCCTGCATCCTTCTCCCTCCAAGCCCTCCAATTCAGGGAAACAAGCAATGTCATCAACATAAAAACTCGGACTTCCGCGCGGATCTCAGATTTTTTATGTTTATGTCATTCCTCGTTCCCCTGCTCCAACTCCTCTGTCCCTCCCTGCCTGCGTGCGGCAAAAGCCCCACCGCACTCTTGCCTCGGGGAGCAGTCTTGGTGGGGCTACTGTATCGGTTTGCACGGCCTTCAGCGGGCTGAACCCTGTATTTAGGAGTGGCGTAGGACTCGCGCTTCCTGCAACAGAGGCCACGATCGAAGTGGCACAGTCGCAGGAAAACGGAGGGTTAACGCTGGTCCAGCAACGCGCCCAAATAACCGAACGCATATGATCCAAGAGAGCTCCCAACGGATACCAAACATTAAGCGGAAGGATGGGGGCGGGGCGGGATGCGACTGTCGGCTTGTGTTACCTTACGGGTGGGTCGCGCTTCCTGCTAAACTCGTTGCAGTCCAGGTGCCGTCATCCACACGAGAATGACGGCTATAATGGAATGTCCCCAAAGGCACCCCAACAACTCAATGCCAATACATGGACGCTCCGAGTATTGATTCCGTTTTGCGAAGCACGGCCTCGTGCGAATATACTGCAGGCGCATGACTGCAACATCGCTGCAATAAAGAAATCGTACACGAGCCTCGCAGGCCTGGGCAGAAACCGCGCTCGGGCGCGAACGCTTGCAATCTGGCGCGTTTTTCAGGACACAGGGGCCAGAAGCAAATACCCGCCGAAACAAGATTTCGGAGTTTTTTCCAGAACACTACAAGTGTGAGGCAAATTGTTGGGTCCGTCGGACAAGACCAAACAACATGTTTCTGCAACATCCCCGCAAGCGGGCCACTTTGGGTTGGCTGGGTAAGAACTTTCGGGTCGTCTTGGGAGCAAGCCTGGTATTTTTTTCGGCGGGCATTTGATGCGGTTTGCTTCTTGCCGGGTCCATGTGCCATTTAGGATTTGACACTGTAAAATTGGGGAGCGAGGCCCGGTTCTAGTCCAAAGGGTGGGGGGCTGGATTTACATTGTGCTGCGGCCCCCACTGGCCATCTTCGATCTCGCGCCGGCCTAGATGGCGACGAGATGCACCGTGACAGTACTGTAGAATCTTTCGGATCGGCGCAGTAGGCCAGTAGAGGAATACTACCAAAGGCAGCCGAGCATGTCGACACTAGGATACGCGGGGGGAAATCGGATTATGTCGGCTTTGAAAACCTTGCGAATGGCTGGTCCCTGTATTCAGGAGGGGCGGAGGACTGGCGCATCCTGAAAAATCCTAGCAATCAGAGTGGGGTTAGCCCCAGGAGAACGAGGATTGCAAGGGCCCAGCGAAACACCTAAACTACTTAATATCCTCCAGCAAGGAGAAATACGCCCGACAATAATCCAACATGTCGAAGCTGGGAAGCGCGGGGGGGCAAAATATTGCACATCTCGAAAGGGGGGTGATCCTTGTATCCACTACCATGTTTGCAGCGGGCCCTTGCGTTTTCGTCAGTCTCGCTTCGCTTCTTGTGAAGGAAAAGTTAGCCCCCCCCTCGTCGCCACGCATCGAGCCAAACATACGTTCATGATTCGAGAAATTCCCTGCGTCTTGGCCGTCGACACAAAGAACATAAGCCAACATGAGAGTTCTGGGTAGCACGGTCCATGCTTAGTGATGTGTGTTGACTGATTTGGGCTGTCAGAAGGTCCTTGTCGAGACCCCTTGTGATGTCTTGAGGCCGGCTTGGAGTCCTCTTGGAGCTTCTTGAGCCATCTCGGGCTCTCCTGAAATTGTTGTGGGAGCCCTCAGGGGTCATTTTGGCGAGCACTTGGCCCGTCTTCGTGAGCACCGTGGCCATTCTACAAAATCCACATGAGGAGCTCGGGAGGACTCGGAAGGGGGGGGATCGTCATGTGGGGACCTGGCGCTGGTCTGTGTGGATCAAGACTGCCCGGATCCACTTGGGTGTATCCCAGAAACTTCGTGGGTGTATTCTCGGACTGCCTGAAACATGTTATGGTTCCTCCCTTGAGCAGTTTTTGCTCGGGGTGCGACGCACCTGGTAGCATCTCCATGTGCAAATGCGAGAGACTGATCCGAAGTCCGCGATCACTGAAGCTGAGTCTAAACGAGCAGACGTGGATGAGTTTGTAGAATTCGACCGTATAGCGCATATTTGTGAAACAATCCAGAGGCGCGATACAGTCAACCTGTATAACGAAGGATGCGCGGTAAGGATGCAAGGACCTTGGATGGCCATGGTAACGTTTTTCGAAAGAGGTTGGCCAGCGAAAGTCGGTCAGGATGGGCCGAAGGGGCAAGGATGCAAGGGTAGCCTTGGATCATTGCTCATCCTTAGTATGCGGGTTTACTGTATCTTTCGACAACAATGTCAGGGGATTTTCAGCGTCAACAGATCCTTACTTTGGCTGGCGCATCCGCAACCACAGTCTGTCTCGGCAGTCAACTGCACGAAGGCCAGGTTCAAGGATCGCCTGCTAGGTCAACGATTCCATAGCTCTGGCCCGTCTTAACCGAACAAGCCGTGATGCATCGGAGAGGACCCAGTCAGCAGGGGCCATGGGATGAGAAGGAGAGGTGCCTGGAACCACTATGTTTGATGTAGAACCCAGTTGCTCCCCGATGCTCGGTTCTAGACAGAGGCGATCTGAAAACCCAACTGCAACCCAAACCATGGCATCGAGACGTCCACGCCGAGCCGTCAAACGGGCTCACGCTGCACAGAGGGGAAGCCAGCAGTAGGACCAGCTGAGGCATCGACAAGTCCATACTGAACCATCAAAGGGGGTCGTCGCTGCATTGGGGGGGAGACAGCAGCAGGACTGGCTGGGGTATCAAACAAAAGTCCGCACCGAACTATGAATGGGGCCACGCTGCACTTACGAGGGACGAGAAAAACATCGACGGACGTCGGAGGGAGACGAGGAGGAATGTGCGGTCCCAGACAGGGTGTGGTGCAGCGGAGTAGTGAGAGGAGATAGGTCGGGACGAACTCTTGTATGAGAGACTCCGACCATAATAGAACATTTGTGTGTGTTCTGGGAGCCCTGCGAGCAGCTGGCAGCCTTCCTTCTTGCTCCTCCTTCGCAGGAGCGATTTCCTATTCGGCGGCCGAACTGGAACAACGGAGAACTGCGACCCCGAACGCATGCTCGGGAAAGCGTCGCCGCCTCCGCGCAGCTGCGGAATTTGTGTATGCAATTTAGGTATCAAATCCCCTCCTGCGCGCGCCCATGACCCACCCTCACATGAATATTTGGTAATCCGTCGGTTACATCCTGAGCGTGGAAGTGGAGACCACCAGTCCACTTAGCCTCCACCCACGCACATCTGGGAAGCGATGGGGCTTGGCGTCGGCTACGCAATCGGACTCGGCGTCGGGCTGGAGGTCGGACTCGACGTCGGGAGTCTGCCTGAGATGATGCGTAGAACTGATTGTTACAACGACCGAACCTCCGATTACCTCCGTCACCTCTCGCTCAAGGGTGGCCTCTCCGTGCTCAAGGTGATAAGGGCGCAACCTTCCAAAATGAACACCTTCCGCCTCCATCGCGGATCGCGGAAAACACATTCTGCAATCCATTATACTTGTACGGCTTGTACGTGTTCACAAGCCTCGCTGTGGTCATGAGAATTGTGGTGTTCATGAGCTCTGCGGCGTTCGTCGGCCTGGTATTGTTCATAAGGCCTGTGGTGCACATAGGCCGCGTGGTGATTCGATGCGGTGTGGTGCTCGCAAGTATAGCGGGCCCCCTCGCACAGAAAGTGGCCGATGAAGGCATCGTAGGAACATCATGACGGACGCGGAAGTCTTCCTGGTACGCCTCCCTTGCCTTCGAATTCCGCCGCGGCTTCCATCACACACGCGGCGGAAACCAAGTGGGAAATGGGCCTCTTCTGGGGGGCCTCGCCATCGACTCTGGGCTGTTTGGCCTGCGCATGCTGCCATCGCAGCCTCTCTGAGTTAACAAACTGCAGAGCTACGTTAACAACAACTGCGACGACATGGTGCTTTGACTTCTGGAGCTGGTCGGGTGCTTCCAGAAGTGCCCCTGGCCAAAGGTGCCCCCAGGATTTCCAAGGAGGCCCCCCGCGGCCTCCAGAGCACCCCTCACGAGGCCCAGAGGCCCCAGGGGCTCCAAGACGGAGCGAAACGCTGGGGGCACCCTGAGCCGGGGGCACCCTCAGCAGCCCCCGGACTGAAGGCTCGTCGCGCTGCCCCAGGCATGGCCGGCTGCCAGCTCGGTCCTCAGAGCGCCCTCGCCAGGCCTCCGGCGTGACACGGGGGGCTCTTCTGTGGCGGCAATCGGCCGCTCTTCTCGCGGCACCTGCTGCTGCTCCCGCCGCCAGCACGGCGCGCACCGGGGCTGCACGAAGGAGGCAATGGCGCGCCCAAGCTGGTGATTGTACGAGCAGATGCGCGTTCCGTCGTGGGGGCGGCTGGCGCTGTGCCAAGTACGTACGGCAGCAGTGGGAAAGGGAGATCGGCAAGATTGAGTTGCCATGCGTGCGAACATGTCGATCACACCGAGTGGCCTGCCGATTCGTCAGATCATGCGCGTGCCCTGGATGATTGGAAGGAGAATTGCGTCAATTTTCTGGTGCAAGAGACGTTTCGCGCTCCCGCCAGAGCCCTCCTCAGCCAAATGTCTGCGACGACATGATTGCAACGTGATGGCGGCAATGAGCTCACTGAAGGCACAATTTTTTCCTTATGTGGCAATGTTTTGCCTTCGGTGAACTCATTGCCGCTACAACATGTTTGTCTTAATTAATAAGCTCATTGTCGCCATGCTGCCTTCATCAACGCAACTTAACAAAAACAGACTGACGGACTTCTCGCGTATGCCCCCCCCAGCCCGAACACCTCATCAAAATCTTAAAACAAAAAAACAAAGCCCATAAAAAAGGGGGCGGGTCCAGGTTAGCATCAAAGACTCCTCCGGGGTAGATGGGGTCGAAGAATGGCGCCGCATCGCCGATACATCGCCGATGCATCGGCGACGTCGGCGATGTATCGGCGACGCCGGCGTGGAGAAAATCGTGCTCCACATTGAGGCGCATCGCCGATGCATCGGCGATGCGGCGCGACCATCCGATCCCATCTGCTCCGACCCCACCCGGGAGGCCGGAACTTCGCGTATCCCCTTCGGCCCATCCTGAACCGTTTCCCGACCGTCCCCGGGCACGTGGAGGGCCCCAGGAAGCCCCAGACGGCGGAACACTTCAGGACCCGCTTCCCTCAGGATCCGTTTTCTTCACTCGGGGGCGTGCAAGCATGGATTAGCGATCCATGGACTTGGCGCGCGGTCGCCAAATCCATGGATCGAGGGAGGTGCCCTCTCCCAAATGCTGCCGGTGCCGCCTCGCTCGGCGGCGGAAGTCCGCGATTCTCCGTGGAAACGGGACCTGTCGCTAAACCACGCCCCCCTGATCCATGCTTGCGATGACCTGATTCATGGCGATCGATGGACGCTTCGCACACCTCCCCCCAGCCCATCCGGAGGTGGGGGGCCGAGCGGCTCAGCCGGCGCCGCGTGCCAGAAGCGAGGGACTCACTCGGGCGGGGGTGCCCGGGCCAACTACAGGGAGCAGGCTCGACACGGGCAGCAGGGAGGGGGACTTTTACGGAAGAGAAAAAGAAACAACAGCATAAACGTAAACTTTTGGCGCTGCACGCGGAATTCTTGGATCCGCGCTCGACCCCCCTCCCTGGCGCGCGGAGCGCGCCAGGGGCGGCGCCGGAGGCGCCGCCAGGGGGGCCCAGCGCGGATTCAAGAAATCCGCGAGGAGCGCCAAAAGTGTATATATGTTTATGGCATTTTTTCTCCTTCGACTGAAGGGCTTCAGAGAAGGGCGGGAGGGCGGGAAGAAGTGAGAGAGATTCCAGGGGGGGGCTCAAGAGAGAGGGGAGTCTCAACTCGCAGGGGTATCGCGGTGGTGTGGGGAATGTGCAGCACGACGAGCCCGACGCGATCGAAGCGATCGATGCAGAACTGCTCGCCAGCCAGTGCAATGGAATTCTGGCGCGAGCCTCTCCTGCGCAAATGTCTCCACCTGAGCACTGATGATCGCAGATCTCCACGCACAACTGCGAGAGACTCAAAAGCCGCTGCTCGTGCAAACGGTCATGATAGATATCAGGGCGGAGTCCTGACTCGCTGACAACGTGGCCAACAACACGATCTTTTCACGCGTCACGCTCCCTGTCTTGCGCGTCGTGACCTCGGCATTCCTGATGCCCTCCATATGAAACAATTGCGCATACAAGATATCCGACACCGTTCCGGACGGCACCGAGTGCAAGGCCGTGCACGGCGACAGCAAAACCGAAAACCGACCGAACCGACAACGAAACCGAACCCGACCGACATCGACAGGCCGAACACAACTCCGCAGGGCGCAGCAACGCGGCAACGACACAATAATCGACCGAACAGGAGCGACCGAACACAACCGACTGCGATGCAACCGAACCGACCGAACTGTGAACACCCTTGGATGGGAAACCAGAAAGTACCGATACCGCTGCTCCCCGGACCTCTCCTGGGGTGCGTTCTGACCAGGGTTTCGAGGCGAATCCAGCGGTGGCGACGAGGGCCTCTCCCAGGAGGCCCAAGAAGGGGAAAGACGGGCGGAGGCGAGTATGGGTATCTTTTCCTCCTCTGATTGGAGAGGCGTGCCCTCAGGTCCCTTCGAGTTTTCTCTGCCCAAGCAGGTCCCCGAGACGGCCTCAGATGACCAGGCGGCCACCAGGACAGGCCAAAGTCCCCCACGAGTCCCCCACGAGGCCCCCCAGGAAGCCCACAGGAGGCCCCAAGAGGCCTCCAAGAGGCCTCCTCTCCTTCTTCTTCCTCCTCCTCCTCCTCCCTCTCCTCTTTTCCCAAACCATCCTGGGTTCCCGTTTTGAAGAGACAGCGCCCCGCGTCCTCCCTTCTCCTCTTCCTGCCCCCTCCCCTCCTCCTCCCTCCTGCCACGTCGTCTGTACCCTCCATATGTCTCTGTTTCAGCACACCCCTCACACGTTTCGCGGCCCCATAAGGAGCTCCACCGAAGGCCCCAATGGCAGCGCCCGCATGGCACCACCGCGCCCAATTCGGCACACTCCTCACACGTTTCGTGGCCCCATTGGGAACTCCACCGAAAACCCCAATGGCCGCGCCCGCATGAAACCACCGCACCCGTTTCGGCGCACCCTTTACACGCTTCGTGGCCCCATCGGGAGCTCAACCGAATGCCCCAACTGCAGCGTCCGCATGGCACCACCGCGCCTGTTTCGGCACACCCCTCACACGTTTGGAAGCTCCACCAAAATCCCCAATGGCAACGCCCGCATGGCACTACCGCACCCGTTTCGGCACAACCCCTCGCACGTTTTCGTGGCCCCATAAGGAGCTACACCGAAGGCCCCAATAGCAGCGCCCGCATGGCGCCACTGCACCCGTGTTGGCATACCCCTCACACGTTTCGTGGCCCCCAGAAGTGCTCAATCGAAAGCGGTCTGTGCCCACAACGCGGTACTTACAACTGCATATTGTTGGACCTTTCGCCAAGGCAGCAGTTTTTTCCCCAACCATCCCCTGGTGTTGGGTCCTCGTATTGAAGAGACAACGCCCCGCGTTCCTCCTCTCTTCTCCTCTCCTCTCCTCCTCCTCCTTCTCCCCTCCTCCTCCCCCTGCTCCCTCCTCCGCAGTTCGCGTGCGTGTCTCCCACCCAGTGCAACGTTTCGTGGCCCCAGAGGGAGCTCCAGCGAAGGTCTCAATGGCGCAATCCGCGTGCGTCCCCTCCACACAGTACAGCGTTTCATGGCCCCAGGGGGAGCTCCACCGAAGGTCCCAGTGGCGCAGTCCGCATGCGTCCCCCCCACCCAATACAGCGTTTCGTAGCCCCAAAGAGAGCTCCACCGAAGGCCCCAGTGGCGCAGTCCGCATGTGTCCCCCCCGCCCAGTACAGCGGTTCGTGGCCCCAGAGGGATCTCCACTCAAGGGCCCAGTGGCGCAGTCCGCATGCGTTCCCCCCGACCCAGTACAGCGGTTCGTGGTCCCAGGCGGAACTCCACCGAAGGTCCCAGTGGCGCAGTCTGCGTGCGGTTCCCCCGCCCAGTACAGCGCTTCGTGGCCCCAGGAGCTCCACCGAAGGACCCAGTGGCGCAATCCGAAACGTCCCCCACCACCCAATACAGCGCTTCGTGGCCCCACAAGGAGATTCACGGAAGGTCAAAGTGGCGCAGTCCGCATGCGTTCCCCACCACCCAACACAGCGTTTCGTGGCCCCAGGGGGAGCTCCACCGAAGGTCCCAGTGGCGCAGTCCGCATGCGTCCCCCCATCCAATACAGCGTTTCGTGGCCCCAGAGGGAGCTCCACCGAAGGTCCAAGTGGCGCAGTCCGCAGGCTAAATTTGTTTATCTGTTCTCTCTCTCTCTCTGTTCCTCTCCGAAATGCCCTCCGACTGGTTTGCAAAACGGCTCGGGGAACACTGGCCTAATAGCTTGGCAAGACTTCGCTCTAACGTTTGGCCACATCGGCGTTTCCAACAAGCACGGCGGCTGTGGTTGCCAAAGGCGTCTTCGATGTGCGTCTGAAGAACGCTATCATCCGGTCGCCAAGATCCGGATACGCTGTACACTTCAAGCACGCAAAACGTTCACTAATCAAGTGACGCTCACCTTATGCAAGGTACTCGAATTGGAAAGTCCGCACGCAAGGAACAACTTAAACTAAAACGATTTGAAGCTTCGAAAAAAAGGTGTGGCGTGCAAGCGCCAAAGTGCCCCCAGGCGAGTCCCAGCGTGCGTGCTACTGCCCAAGACTTCAGTCCAAGCCGCCGATGGACGGATTCTCGAGGAGCCACACCAGCAGGAGGCAACCTGGATCCACTTGTCCCTCTGGGACCGTCAGGCTGCACAAATACATACACGTCATTATTTTACTTTTCACGACACGATTGCTACTTCACATATTTCCTGGCGCCGAAGTCCAGCACTTCCTGCACGCGCGTGTGATCCCCAATGCCACTTCCCAGACAATAGCCCAGAACGCGACTTGTGCAACATCGAAAAACACATCGGGACATGACTCGTCTTGGCGCTCCGCGACTGGTCGTGATGATCTGTCCGGGTTCACTTGTGCCCTGAACATGCGAACGCAATGTGCCGGACAACACCTGTCAGGACGTGCCACCGCCAAGCGCGAGGGATAACACAGAAGCACGATCCAAGCCATGAAGCGAGTCTGATAGTC